TATTATATAATTTTAGGTCACCAAAATTACTTTCTAAAATAATTTTTGAAACTAAACCAAATTACTAAGAAAATTACTTTGACACAGACAAAGGGACAAACTTCTGAAAGAGAAGCGAAAGAGGTTTAATAACTCACCTATTTCACATTCCCTGAAAAAAAAACGTGTTGAGTATTTTCACAAGGTGAATATAACAAATGAAAAAGGGGAAGAAATAGAAACCCATCCAATTCTTGAATCATGGATTGAGTTTTGGAAGACAGTTTGATCTACTCTGTTTTGCTGATTCTCTCTTGGCATTTCCTATCTTCTGATTAGCTGTATTGTACCTTCCCATTTCCACTGGAATCCTTTCCCTCTATGGAATTCATCCATATGTTGTCTTCTAGAAATTTCGTATAAGTGAGAGACCCTATTTCGGCTATTACAGTATTTTTGGCGTGCATCCTCGACCTTTTTGTAAGCCCTTTCTTCTTGTTCCACTTTAACTGAATAGTACTTCACTTGATTTTCAAGACGCCTTTTCTCTTGGAGTAGCATTCTAAGTAATTTCACTAAATATCTCGTTGACAATTCCATGTAGACTTCAACAGTACCTTGTATATCTGAAGGATCTCCACTGAGTTTTCCCAATTTCTCTTTCAGAGTAACTATTTGCTCTCTCAGTTGATAATTCACTTCAAGTTGTGTCTCATAAAGCATTTCCATTCAATGTTTTTAATGAAGTTGGCTTTCTGTTCCACTATCTTACGTGTTAGTTCATTTATTGAGAGTTTTACCAAGTCTTTCTTATGGATTTCTTCCAATAACTCCAGTTTCAGTTGTTCAGTGCTCATACCTCCAAAGTTGTCACCCATAGTGTCAGGTCAGAGACCTCTCCACGCCCTTCTCATCAGCACATCTTAGAGCAGAAGACCTGAAGGCTCACCCAAAGCTGAGAAGAAAGTGTTGTCATGAGCTGTTACCATGGTGAACTGAATTCTAGAATTCTTGGCTGCAATCCCCCCACCCAGCACCTTGCACATGTCATAACACTGCCTTCTTGTCTCCATTGTTTCTTTCTTTCTTAAAATTTTTTTTTTATTGAACTCAAAGAGATAGGGAGAGTGAAAGAGAATCAGTGAAAGAGTATCATTGATTGGCTGCTTCCTGCACACCCCCACTGGGGATTGAGCCCGCAACCTGGGACATGCCCTTGACTGGAATCGAACCCAAGACCTTTTAGTCCTCAGGCCGGCGCTCTATCCACCGAGCCAAACCGGTTTCGGCCAGAGCTAGAATTTTGAATAACTAACATTTATTGAGCACTTACTATATGCCAGACACTATGCTAAATTCATTCCAAAGATTAGCTAATTTCAACCTCAAAACAATTCTGAAAGTTGGGTGCTACTGTTATTCCCATTTTTTCAGACGAGTTACTGAGACACAAAAAAGGGTACATAATTTTTTCTGACTG